CTTTCTGATTCGAACTGTAAACAGATCCTCAAGTAATGTATTCAGTATATATGATATTGTAGTTACATCTGGATATCTGATTTGTTTAGCAGCCATTTCCTGTACATACAGTCAAATACACTTTATCCTCTGTGCATCAAAAGATTTCCCATAAACTGTGAATCAATGGCTCGTGTTATGAACAATGGATGATCCTTCCACGTTAAACTTGGTCTTCTTCAGTGTCACAAAATAAAAGTAACTATGCACACAAGTACTGGATCAGGATAAGAACTACATAAACGTAACAGTATCATAACATTTGTAGCCCTTGTGATGGTAAAATAATATATTCGATTTTTGGGTTACATAACTTAATTAACTATTGGTTCTATTATTTATAGCACGTGGTATTGTTCATATACGACTCTATTAGATCACGTGAACACTAATAACGCATTGTCATTATCATTTCTTTGAAAAAAAAGCCTAAAAAAGGTTTGTGATATTACTGTTCATAATAGATGGTATCGGATCATATTTTCAGGTTTTTAGCACCATATTGGTTAGGTGGTGTACAGGTATCCCCTGCCAATGAACATCGTGTTGTAACAGAAGAGCAATGGCGACCATGGTGGGAACGCTACCAGCCTGTGAGTTATTCAGTGGTTAGTAGAAGTGGTGATCGAGCTGAATTCATTGATATGGTAAATCGATGCAACGCCGTAAACATCAATATTTATGTAGATATTATATTCAATCATATGTGTGGAGATGGCAGTAAGTTTGTTTACTATTTGCAACTATTGTTCGAGCCTATTTATTACCTAGCCCGTCAAAGATGGAAGGGAAAGGTATATTAAGGGAAACATTTCTGCTCGGCGCTGTCGTCGTCATCGTTAATATTTGTTGTTGTGTAACTTTACTAAATCTATTCTAAACTTTATCAAACTAGATCACCTTATTCATTAATGTAGAAAGTCTTCCGTTAGTATGAACGATAGATGTCTTGTATGAAATATTATGCACAAATTGAGAAAATCTGATGAAATATTTTGACTGTTTCTACTTGGCTGATCACTGGTGATACACATCAAAGGTCACTGATCTCAGTGGAAATATGCATTGTTGTATGTGTTCAATAAAGCAAACCAGTTATCTTGTAATAATATCCTTGGTAATGTATCTCCCAAATCCCATGGTAATACTAGACTGGGTTTCAATGCCAACTCAAAGAAAGAGTTGTTGTACAGTCTGATACACATTTGCAAACCTACCAATATTTTTTTTACAGAAAAGAAGATGTCAGAAAATCAATATGAGCACTCCTATGAATTGGATGCCAAACGTTTGATCAATATCTGAAGCCAATACAAAATCTGTTTAGTTTAATGTTATCAAATCAAAAACAATACATAAAAACATACATTGTACTAAAAAATATGTATTCTGTATTTGCCAAACAGTTCATTCGACAATCAAAATTCACAGAAATTTGTTTCAGCTATTAGAAAAGAATGATAGAGCTTGTATAATACTAATTTAAAACACTAATAAAAAACAACAACAATTGCAATGTTTGAAGATGTAGATTCTCAGGAGGCAACAGTACTGTTGATTTCTCTTCCCACTAGACACCACTATTTGAGTTGATTTGAATACAAAGCAGAGCTTGCATAATGGTAGTTATTCATAGAGGGCGTTTTATTACTTTTCAAATAATACAGTATTCACACAATGAATATACTAAGGCAATTCATGTTTGTCTCAGTGAATCACTAATCTTTGTACAAAATACTTGGGCAAAAGCCAGCTAAGATTTTCTGTTATTCTGCATGTTTTATGAATCTATTCACGTCTAAATGCAACTCTTTTTTCTCAGATGAGGCATTTGATTTTATACTAAAATTTCCAGATTATTTTGACTAAAGCTGAAAATTATGTCCCTTTAATTAGGCACCAATGTTTTTGTAAGATATTTACATTAATCAAGGACATTTGGTAGATTGCTTTCCCACTGTTGTTTCAATCCTAAAACTTGTTGGTATTCAAAATTAATTATGACAATGCATATTCATATTGAAACAAACTATGATAAAGGTAATGATATTATGTAACAAAGGACAAGGTCAAAGTTCAACTGGCAAATGGCATTCAGTAGTGTTTAAAAACAAATAATAGCATAGTTCTTATGTAAAAACATGACGCTTATATGTTTGTAAGTACATTTTCCCTCCATTTTCAGAGAGTGGATATGGTATCGATGGTAGCTGGTATGATACGACCTTCAACGCCCGCGATTTCCCAGCCGTGCCCTACTCTGAGTGGGATTTCAATGATGATATTTGCGACAGAAATATTGAGAATTATAATGATGAATGGGAAGTACGCAACTGTCGATTAGTGGGTCTGGTTGATCTGAAACTCAGTAAAACATATGTGCGTGATAAAGTCGTGGAATTCCTAAATGATCTGATTTCTCTTGGAGTCGCTGGTTTCCGTGTAGATGCGTGTAAACACATGTATCCCGAGGATTTAGAAGTCATTTATGGGCAAATGAACGACCTCGTCACACCAACTTTTCCTTCTGGCAGTCGTCCGTTTATTGTTCAAGAGGTGATAGATTACGGCGGTGAAGGTATCTCGGCAACAGAATACACTCACTTAGGCCGTGTGACTGAATTCAAATATGGTCGAGAGCTGTCAAATTGCTTCCGAGGTAATAATGACCTAAAATGGTTAGTCAATTGGGGAGAACCATGGGGACTTTTACCAAGAGGTGTTGCACTGTCTTTCATCGATAATCATGACACACAACGCAGCCATGGAGGAGGAGGTAATCCACTAACATATAAAGAACCTCGTGAATACAAGATGGCAGTTTCATTCATGTTAGCTCATGATTATGGTGTACCCAGAATAATGAGTAGTTACTATTTTACTGACAGTGAGGCAGGACCGCCTTCACATCCAGATGGATCCACAAAAGATGTGACATGTTTCGATGAATGGGTATGTGAACACCGGTGGAGACAGATCACTGGTTCTTCGTGGTTCCGCAAGGTTACCCATGGTACTGGTGTTGACAATTGGTGGGACAATAATAGTAACCAGATTGCCTTTTCTCGTGGTAACCTGGGATGGTATGCTGTGAACAATGATGCATATGCCATGGACGCAACTATATACACTGGATTACCTGCTGGTACATATTGTAACCTGTATGTCTCATCCTACGATAAAGACACCAAAGCCTGCGTCGATAAGGAAAATGTTGGTACACCGTCTACTGTTACTGTGAAAAGTAATGGCGATGCCTCGGTTTATATACCCAATAACAGCAATCCTGTCATTGTAATACACGTTGATGCCACTGTATAATGAATGACCTGTAACATTATTGAGAGAACATATTTCGTAATCATTTATGGACATAAATAGATTATGTACGAAATATATGGTATCATGATGGTAATAAAAAAAGTCCAAACAGATCAATCGAATTGTGATTTTCCATGTCCATTCACATGATTGAACATATTGTATCTGTGTTAGTTCCACAGGTCGTAATCATAGGCAGCAGGCGCCCAGTTTTGTCATGCAAGTGAGAGGGCACCCACATAACTCACACTGGACAGGGGGTTCTTTCACTGCTATTATGGGGTAGACAAGGCAATAGTACTGGAAATGAAATACAAATACTCCAAAATATCGAGTTAAAGCTCCTGGCTTTAATACCTCTCTAAATAATTACAAGAAATAAAGCACAGAAAAATGCAATGAATAAAGGCACTAAAATAGGGGATTGCTTAGGGAAGTGTGTATTCATGATAACTCACAGTTCAAGGATGTAGAAATGGATGACAGCCAATGGCTTCTGCAACACAACAACGAAGAAATACAGGAGTCTTGCTTGCAGAGGAACGCTGGTGTTCTGGAGGGTACCACTGGAAGCAGGAGATCGCAGAGCAGGTCATACAAGTCTCACAGAATGATTGTTGAAACCTGTATCACTTGTCTCACAATAAACTAATATACACACAGGATACTAAGTTAAAATGATGGGCCCCATCTGTCCTCAGTCTGCCTAATTTATAGGCATGAATGGCCCAAATTCAGTGACACCACCTGGGATTCCACATGAGCCAATCAGAACGTGATCCTACTAGCAGCTGTGTCACGTAGGCAACTCAGTAGATCATAACCATCTTTTGTTATTCAAATAACAGAACACCTGGTAGATTCCAATTGTCCTTTCAAAGTTGTAAACACCCTTTGTTATGTAAATCACAAGCACACTTGATAGATTCCAACTGTCCTTCCAGAGTTAAAAACAAGTATGACCTGTCAATCACCTTTATGACAGTTATCATACGGCAATGCACACCGTTTCTTCCCATGATTCCATGCACATTTCTATTTGCAGGGTTTGAGATAATATGACAAAAATGATGCTGACAGTAACTGTGTACTACGTGCATACAAGGTAAAATAACCATACAATACAACCTGCTGATAATATTCCTCCATAACAGTAGTCATATCCAGGAAATAGTTGGGGCTGCAGTGCATCAGACTCGTTCTTTGTGCCCTTCATAAAATCCCGTGGCAAGAATATAATAACCTTCGGAAGTCTGGATATTCGATTTTCGAATATTAAAATAATGGCGATCCCATGATTCAATTCTGCGATGCCAGTTATCAACATTATTCAACATTTACGTACACCACCAATTAACAATAATATGCGATTTAAAAGTATCTCCAGTTATCGTCAGGAAGATTAGAGAATTGGGTCAAATTCTACACACCTCGTTACTAACAGCGCTATGACATGACTGAGCTAAAAAATAATTTA